GCTGCCCGGCCGCCGAGGGCAGGCAGGAATTGCTGCCGGCAGCAGAAGGCAGCAGGGAATCGGGCTCTGCACCCGGGCCCGAGATCTCCTCGCTGCTCTCAGCTAAGTGTCCACAGTCCATTGGTGACTTCCCCGGCAGGGAGGGTCCTGCAACCAAGAAGAGCATCTCTAAAGCCAGCCGCCATGCTGTGCCGAAGCAAATGCTTTCTAAAAACAAGGATTATCAGAAATGCAAGTGCTGCCCGCGCCAGAAAAAGCCAGGATGCTGCTGCGCGAGCTGCTCTTCCGCGAGCTGCTTATAAGTTTGATATCACACACAGGTACAGAAACGGAAGTTAAACTCTTCACAAAGATTTCAATTTTTTGGGGAGAGTATTGCACAGAACAATTTCTTTAAATCACTTGTAGCACAAAGTTCACCTGGCTCTTCTGAGAAAACCCAAGAGGCAATGCTGAGCAGCACTGCCACAGCGGTTTCCATTTACGACCAACTAAAAATTAGGCTAAATGCGATCTTTTTAAAGCACATTATTTGTATAATTTGGGACTTGGGACTGTGCATATATTTTCTATTTACCTGCCATCATTTTATTGAGGGTCTTTAAGTGGTCAGTGCTCTGTGGATTACAGAAAGGAAAATACCATTTGTCAGATGCAGCAGTGAATGAAGCCACAGAGCATAGTACTGAGTTTTTGAAGCATGAAGCTTGCTCCATGATTTTAAAGCATCAGGAACCGACTTCTGTCCTCCCACCCCTAACGCTACTCAGGAATTTCCACACTTATCCTGTAGCTTCTATGTTTTCAAACGTAAAAAGCATCTTGTAAACTGGATTTTGGCCATTGGGGGGCAAAAGAACCCTTTGAAAAACAACAGCAAAAAGCTCCTTTTGAGCAAAGCTGAAAATAATGACCGCAAGGTCTTTCCCCAACTTTCAGAGAAGACGGTCGGTCAGCTCTGCCAGTAATAAAACTCACAGTCCTTTAATTCATTCAATTCCACAGTAAAATGCAATTCAATCGGTATTCCCCAAAGTGCAGCACTTCTTAGCTAGAATAATACCTGATCCTGCTGTCCTTAGTCAAGCAGCCCTTCTAGATGTCCCAGACAGATCCTGGCTTTCATGTGTTGGGAGCAGCTCTTTCTGGGATGGCCCAGCTAGACAACAAGGGTAGCAACAAGTTATTAAAACATTTAATTTCATTCAACTACTATGTAATTTGGAAACTGTAAATGAAACTGATGCGTGTAAATGACTGAACATCTACATTTACAAAAATTAGGCCTTGATTTTGCAAAGCATTTCAACCGCATGCTGAAGTCCCACGGATGTCCCTGTGTAATTGCGGCTGATAAAGGTAAAAAGCCCGAGGCAGTGAACCAAGTCAAAGATTTATAGCAGAGAAGAGGAAAGGTTTCTAAATAATCTTTTTCGCAATGCTCTAATTTGATGGTATTTGGAAGACATTGCTATTTTTGTTGCTTTATTGTGATTAATTTGCTGTTAATCTGACTCAGAGTTTTATCAGGCAATGTTCTTGAACAGTAGTACAGTTTAGACCAAAATTATTTCTGAAATACTCTGTGTGCATTATAACTGTAAACCAAAGGAAAAAACCCTCATTATTCTTTTTTAGTGTGATAATTATGACCCATATAAAATAAAACTCACATGAAGTCTACATGAGCTTGTCTTGAGTGAGGGCTGAAAAATGGTCCTTAACTTGGTTATTTCCTTTAACTTAAAATAAAAAAAGGTCCCATGTGCTTTTTTTTCTTGGTATTTTCTCGCTGCATTAAGTACAGTCAGATCTAGATGCATTTTAGTGGCAAAAAATCATCCCTATTGCCACTGCAGAATCAATACAATCATAAAATATGGCAAAAGAGTCTATCATTTCAGGTTTATCAGCAGGATTTCTCATTTGCCCTCCCGTTGAAATCCCACTGAAACGAAGCAGTCTTCCCTGATTCCTGGAAAAGCCCGAATTACACAAGGATACAGACAGACTGGGTTAGTACAAATACCTGCTTGTCTACTGGAACACTGGATTGAGGCTGGGTTACATGCAGTTTTGATTTTGCTGTTGGTGTATAATCAAATCAAGCGCGAGAATGACTTTGCGTGACATACAGTATATAGAAACGCACGTACCTAAAAACCTCATTTCCTTGGGTGCCCCTTGAAGTAGAAATTTCTGTTTTAGGAGCTTTGCCTCTAAATCGGATGAAATCCCGGGCCTACGGGAAAAAAAAAAGGCAAAATTTCAGCTCTGGAAATGAGAGATTTCCCTCTGAATGAATTTCTTCACTGTTGGATTTCCCATCAAACACATACAGCAAACGGCCCACGAAAATCCGCTATGCAGAAACACGGGATCGACTGATGGTATGTAGGTGTGTGTAGCCAAAACGCGGTGGGTCCCCAGCCCAGATCACGTCTGTCGCACACCGGGGCTGGGCAGCGTCGCTCTTCACGCCGGCGCGATCAGGGCGCACGCTTTGGGTGCTGCGTGCTCGGTACGCCCAGTCATCACCCAAACCTCGTGGTCCAAAAAACTGGGGCTGGAAAATGAAGTAAATAAAATGCTGCTGGGCGACAATCAGTTTCCATGCAATCCCCTGTAAAATTTAAGAAGAAAGAGGTCTGGTTTTTAAGATAACGGCAAGAATTTTTTGCAGACACCCACTTGCTGCCTGGCGTGCAGAGACACCTGGAAATGGGGGTGTGAAGGTTAAGTCACAGTACTTCTGTTATTTCTACAGCATTTCTATTGCGGTATTTCTAACGCGGGCAGATGCGTTTTTACACGATGTTACACAGACATAACGGGTTTAAAATCTAATTAGTTTACCAAAGAAAACAGCGCAACACTTGTTTTAGTCCCGTATTCCGCGTGAATGAAACGGCGATGAAGGCAACCTGCCCAGCCGGACAAGCTGGAAGGCGCCAGCGCAAGGGTACGCAAACTGAAAAGCAATAGGTGGAAACTTCAGCGCACACAATCGTTTAGGTTGGAAAAGACCTTTAAGATCGTCCAGTCCAACCACCAGATAAACTCGTTCGCAGCCTTTTCAGTTGTTCCTCGGAGGGGAAAAAAAAAAAAAAAATTACAGTGAATCTGTATTATTTTGC